GGACCGGGCACTGTCCCGAATGGTCCCGAATGATACCGCACTTGTGTCGCCTTTCAACTTCAGTTGTATAATAAATCTCTTATTAACCAAGCTTGCTCGGGACTATACTGGAAGAATATCGGCCCTCGGTCTTTTTTGTACGGGCCTCGCTGCGCTCGGTCCGTACTGTCAAGACCTCAGGCCAATATTCTCCCAGTATGGCCCTTGCGCTTGGTTAATAAGATATTTGTATGGGCCACTTGGCCCAAGTGCAGCCTTAACTACTTTTACAACAGTTTTCTGTTTTTTTTTTTGTTTTGTTTTTTTTGTTTCATGCTTTTCAGTCGGACCAAAGATCAGTGAGATGAGTCCGAGTGCCAAAGAAAAGATCCGGGATGATGTACAAGATGCCATGGCTGACAAAGAAAATGGTAAATTGAACCACAGAAATGTTTCATAAGTTTTGCATGTTGAAAACATGATTTTGTATAACTATTATACAAGGACTCACCAGCATTTATTAATGGCAGTGGAAGAGAGTCCACAATTGAGTGCTTTGGTTTAACCCTTAATTAAACTCTCCTTGATACAACACAGATACAATTCAAACAAACAAGTGATGAGAATAAAAGAAAAAACCAATTAGGGGATTGCTGATCCAATACCAAATTCTCTAAATCAACATCATTAGAATTGTGTTGAATTCGAACCTTTAATAGGCCTTACTTCACTTAGAACCTAACTAAAGACTAAATACAAGATGGCGGTTACGATAATAAATAGCCATAAAGTGAAACCGCTGGTCATGCAAAATGCGGGCAGGGCACAGGGAGCCCAGCCTTAACAACAGAACAGCAATATTACAACAAATTGTATGTAAGCTAGCTAGGAGAGTTACTAATGAGACGGGATTCGTATGGGTCCTAGAAAACCTGGAAAGTCCTGGGATTTTATTTTGACATTTTCCAGGACTGGAAAGTCCTGGAAAAACACTACAAGTCCTGGAAAGTCCTGGAAATCAATAAAGTTTTCAGAAATCAATGCTGTAATAAATGTATGGAGACCATTAGGAGAATTGATTTTGAAATCCTGGGAATGAAAGGTTTTTAAGGTGAAATTTGGAGTCCTTGAAAAATCAATTTGAGTCTTGGACAAGTCCTTGAAATTTGTTCTGAAAAAAGGGGCAAACCCTGATGAGATCTAGGGGTAAATTAGGCCAAAAAGTGTGAATGAAAAAAATAATTGGGTCCATAACAGGAATGATGTGTTTAAACATAAGACTAAAACTTTAAATCAACATCTGAAGGATAAGTTATGCTCCAGTGTCTTACAAGCCAGGTGACCAGAAAGAAGAAAAATTATTAACCAAGAATTTGGTATAACACCAAATTCAAAGAACGTTCTAACATAGATATGTATGGTGTATTCACTGTTGTTGATGTTTGTAATTTTTAAGATGATGCTGAGGTGAAAGATAATGAAAAGGATGGTGCTGCAGTGGAAGAAAGTGAGATAGAAAAAGAAACAAAATCAGAGGAAGAAGCTAAAGAAGAAGAAGCAGGTGAAGGAAAGGAAGGAGGCAAAGATGAAGAAAAAGGAGCAGATAAGGATGAGAAAGAAGAGATGAAGGAGAGAACGGAAGAAAAAGAGAGCCAGGAAGCTAAAAAGGGGGAGGAAGAAAGCAAAAAGGGGGCTGAAGAAGCCAGGAAGGATGAAGGAGAAAAGAAGGAGGGTGTGGAAGAAGGCAAGGAGGGTGCTGAAGAAGGCAAGGAGGGTGCTGAAGAGGGCAAGGAGGGTGCAGAAGAAGGCAAGGAGGGTGCTGAAGAAGGCAAGGAGGGCGAGGAAGAAGATGAAGAAGGGGACGAAGAAGGGGATGAAGATGAAGATATGGAAGGTGTGGAAGAGGGAACTGAGGGAGAAGGGAAAGCCAATGGAAATCAGAAAGGAGAAGAACAAGAGGTATGGATTGGTGTTTTAATTGTTATTATATTTAGCTTGTGAACTTTTGTTGTTTAAAAAATCAATTTGTCCAGTAGAATAGACATAGGTGTCAGGATGTTTTTTTATTGATAGCCGATATGGGAGAAGTTACATGTTACTTACTTCGGAGAGTTATAAGGTCTAAGTGACTTTTGAGAGCTTTTTTTTTTTTCATCAAGGAGGAATTGGATGTCCCAACTATGCAGTCAGCTTGGGAATTCTTGGAATTGGCTCGTCTCATCTTTGTTAGGTTTGTATTCCAACTCCTTCGTATTTAAACAAAAAAGAATGCTGTATAGGTAACTCATTGTCAGATAAGAGTTCTTCCTCTCTCTTTTTCATTTAATTCCTTGAAACTGATTGGGAGAATTTGATGTGATATCAAGTGAAATCCTAGAAGTTAAGTTTTTTTGTCCTAAGTTTTTGCTTTTTTTTTTGTCTGTGTGGATAATGTTATTGAAATTGAAGAGAAGCCATCTGTTACCAACTTGCTGTGATGAACCCTTTACACCTAAGCATCAGGATTCATATTTATATATAAGTAAAACTGTTTCTAGTTTTAATAATTATTTACTTGAACTTCTTTCAAGAAGTATTATGTGGAACAGTGGTGTGATAACATAATTAACCAAGTCTCAAAAATATTTTTCCAACCATCAATAGCACATTTTGTTTTAATTATATTGACATATTGCGGAGGAGCTTGTTAATAACTGTCTTTGAAAATTGATTTCTCAGTAACAATAGTCTCTTTCACTTTAAGACAAGAAAACAAAGAAGCTCAGCTGAATTTGGCTGAAGTTCACCTTAAACTTGGAGAGATCCAACTAGAACAAGGTAAGGCCAATAGCTGTGATTCTTGGGCTTTAAAGAAGTGGTTTTCTCAAATGTTAATTTTCACAATGAAAACCTTGTGATAGTTTGGTTGCAAATGGTCTTGTTAAAGTGCTTTTTAAACAAGCAAATTTGTTTTTTTGTTTTTGTTTTTTGTTAAGAACAATTTGTAAATGCTGTAGAGGAATTCCAGTCATGTCTTGATCTTCAAACAAAACATTTAGAAGCTGATGACAGACTCATTGCGGAGACGTATCCTTTGATTTTCCAGACTTCCTTAAATGTGCAGTTTACTCTTACTAGTGCAGTAGCTAGTACTCCTTGTCTCTGCCCTTTTACATGAGCTCCTGATGAAAAAATCTCTAAAACCTACAGACATTGGTTTTTACTAGAGTTTTTTTGTATTTGTGATTGACCTTTTCATTCTCAAGATATTATCTAGTTTCTCATTTCCGTCTGCCATACAATTCTTATGAGGTTGGTGTGAGAAAATTTGGTATTGGATGAACTACGTATGATGCACGATCCTCGCAGTAGATAGCGCTATTTAAGCAATAGCGAAAATATATGAACTTCATATATTTCATTGTATCTGATTGAATGAACTATTAATCCTTTAATTAATATTTTTTTTCTATTCTTGTCACTTGTCTGCTAGATATGAATTTGTTCTTGTAAGGAGAAATTTTTTCTTCTCTTATGTTGAGGAAATTTGAACTCAAACTGTTATTACATCAGTTTTTGTGAGATAAACATGGACTTGAAAGCTTTAGTTTTATTTGAGTCTCATCTCGTTGTGCATTGTACCTTCTGGCATGTAGGGCAGCAACAAAACCTCTCCACTTCTGCCTGTCTTGGGCCAGTCTCTGGATTGAGTGCCATGTAAAGTCAAGGCTCTTCAGCTCACTCTCCACAGTGCATCGCCAAGTGTTCTTGGGGTGTTCCCTTTTCTGCTTTTCTTCTGGAGTCTGACGAAGAGCTGTTTTGGTTATTTCATCAGGTTCTTTCCTCAGTACATGACCAATCTATCTCCATGCATCTTCTTTTCATTAATATGTTCTCCGTGCTCTCCTAATGACATCTATCATATAGCTCTTCATTTGAGATTGTTCTAGGCCAAAAGATGTGGAGTATGCATTTTGGATTCTTGGTGTGAAAGCCTGACAGCTTCTGGAGATAGCTTCTTGTCATTCTCCACCGTTCAGAGCCTTACAAGAGAGCAGATAAGATACAGCTCTGATATATTTTAAGTTTGGTCTTGATGCTGTATTGCTGTAATCTCCATACATTACTCACTTAAAGTGGCTGCATGTTCAATACTGGCGGAAGAAAAGTACAATCAGGCCATTGGGACTCGGTCAAGGGTTACCATGACTGCTTAACTCTCCACACCCTATCATCAGAATGCATATTCTTTATACTGATCTCTGTATACATTTCCTAAAGCAAATTGGTTGTAGCTTTCACCTTTAATCCGCATGTATTGTTCCAAGATAAGGTACAAAAGAAAGGGAAATAACTATAATGATTGCATTACAATCATGATCACAATCACAATCACTGTCATGTTAAAGAACTGTTTTGCAAACCAAAACAGCTACATGAAGGTATAAAACTCTCTATGACCATGATCCTCTTGTTATACAATCTTCACCGAAGTAAAGTTTACGTTGGGCTGATTGGGCTGGGATGTGCTCTGCAGTAAAAATTAATGAATAACAAGGTCATATGATCATTGTGTCTATAATATTCTCTTTCCTCCAATGTTTAGCTGTTTAGTCTGGTAGAACAATTTTTTTCCCTTAACTGTGACCTCAAAGATCTTATAGCATGGGACTAGCTTACAGTTTACAACCAAATCACACCAAGGCACATGAATTCTTTAGCAAAGCATTGGAATGTTTAAAACTCAAAATATCCAAGCTAGAGGCACATGTCGCAGAGTGGGAGTCAAAGAGCAAAGGGAAAGGAAAAGCATCAGATAAAGATCCTTGTGTTGCGGATAGAAAAGAACTTGAGGAACTTGAGAATTTGTACCCTGAGATCAAAGCAAGAGTAAGTGACACAGGTTCATTTTAACCAGCTCTCCCCCTCCCAGATCTCATTAGTAATTCTCCTAACAGTCTGCTATACAATTCCTATGATGTTATGTGGGAGAATTTGGTATTGGATCAACTAACAGTTCCCTAATTGATATGTTTCATAAATCTCATCACTTGCCTGCTTGATTTTGTGTTGATACTTTAAGGAGAAATTCTATCTTGAAGAGAAAGCCCCTTGAGTTTGTGATCATTTGGTGTATTCTCATGACTTGAATGCAAGATAAAGGGATGATATGGTTGGGAGAAATTAAATGTGTTCCCTCCTAGGGGTAAAAGGGTTAATAGAGGGTTAATAACCCATATGTACTTGCAATCAACTGTGGTGATAATTTTTGTGCTGTTTTTTAAGGTGGATGATGCACATGAAATGATGAATTCAGCTCCAAAAGAGGTAATATTTTGTGTTTTGATGCTGTAGCCATGTGAAAAAGCTACATATTTGTACATCATGAGACAAATGATTTCATTTACGCATAATTATCTAATAAAACGACAACAAACAATGTTTTCTATAAGATATAATTTGGATCTATCAACAAAGTTGAAATGGTAAATTGGCCACTGTAACGATTAAAAAAGCTGATGTTTCGAGTGTTAGCCCTTCGTCGGAGCGAATAGAGGAATTGTGGGTTGTGTGTGCTTTTAAAGGCAGAAAATGGAGCTACGTTATTGGTGGGAACATGGCAACAAGAAAAACGCTTTCATTCCACTAATTTATTCGTGTTTTTCTCGTTGCCATTTTCCCACCAATAACGTAGCTCCATTTTCTGCCTTTAAAAGCACACACAACCCACAATTCCTCTATTCTCTCCTACTAAGGGCTAACGCTCGAAACATCAGCTCTTGTAATCATTACGGTGGCCAATTTACCATTTCAACTTTGTTGATATATCCAAATTATTTTGTTACCCCCACCGACGCAGCCCCAAACAGTTTCTTTAGAAACTATCAGCCTTTTTTCTATAAGATGATTGTAGAGTTTTGAACTCTTTGAATTGTATGTCAAAATTAATACATTTATGTACTGTTTTGTTTTGTTTTGTGTTGGTAATAAAGCAGGAGTCAGTAACAACAGAGGGCTTTGGAACAAGCAGCACAGAAGGTGTTCCTACAAACACGGTGAGGAAGAAATGGAATATTGAGATCAATTTGCATATATTAAAGTTTCCTTTCATAGTCTAGCATTTTTTTAAAATGTCACATTTTCTTTTTCTTGTCTTGAGAATTATTTTGGTTCCATCAGGAAATTGATCAAGTTATCATTACTATCATGGCAAAACTATAAGCAAAGATTCTTCTAATCTGTGTGGTAACCATTTCTAGAACTCCCACTTTCTCTCTAAAAACATCTGTTTTGTTTAGGTCCAAATGACAGCACCTTATTTTAAGGTGGCTGAACACAGTTTTTGATACCTTTTGATTCTTTCACCATTTTCTCTAAAACCCTTGATCTCTCAGTCGCCAAAACTGGCAGCAAGCAAGTTAACAACACAAACTTTGTTTTTGCGATAGTTAAGCTGACGTATGTGCCATTGCCATGGCAACATGAAGAGATATAAATAGGCAATTAAAATCGGTTTTGTTTCTTTGTAGAAAAACTAGTCATTTGATTTTCTTTATAATTTGCATGCAGTGAGCTTGTAACGATACTCACAAGTTAACGCCATTTTGCTGACAATTTAACAGAGAGATCTTTGGTTATCCCTTGTTGAAGGTTCAATTGATTTTCTAGAATTTCCGTTGTTTAAAATCAATTTTTTCAATACTCCAGTCACTTATTTCCTAAAGTATTTTTGTGCCAAATTTCGTGAAATTCGAATGAGTGGTTCTCAAGAAATAGGCATAAATTATTTCTGAGAAAGCAATTTTCCATTCAATTGCAATTTTTTTACTCACTACGCATGTGCTGCTTTTAACTGGTTTCTTTCGGTAATGATGAAAAAGCTGAGAATTGCTTGGTTCTTTGCACCATTAGCTTTTCTAACATATCTTTGTAATAAAAGATTAAAGCCCTCTATACACTGTGCCAACTATAGAGAAAAATAGCACTGATAGTGTGGGTATGTGTTGAGTAAATGAAATGACTGCTCTGTTGACGGCATGTTTGTTTTTTGCAATCCTTGTGTGCGCGCTGAATTGCATCGGAAAAAAATTGTGTTCAGCCACCTTAAATGTTAACCAAATTTCTGGCTTGCTGGGTATATAAATGTCTTGAATGCATGTGAGGTTGACTTAATTAAAACCAAATTTATTTATAAAGAAAGAACTATTTTGTTAGGTAATTGATATCACAAACAAACTGTTTGCAAACTGCATTGTGCACATTACAAATTTGAGGCTACTGACACTTGCTCACTGTCTAATAACATTTAAAGGGTAACTGACGGCTAAAAAGTCATTTTTTTGGAATACTTACAGAAAAGTGCTTTGCAAAGTAACACTACCATCTAAATACCTCAGGTAACACATTCAAACATACACAAGGTACTTTGAATGCTTCTTTGTGCCTTTTTTCGCTTGAAAAACTGTCCAAAATGCGGCTTCGTAAGTCATATGCCATAAATATTTCGAATTTGATCATGTGACCTGATACATCACACATGTGTACAGTAAGCAAAGTAAACATGACAGATAATAGTTCACAAGTGAGAGCAGTTTGTTTTATTTGAATGCAAATTCTGTCTAGTAGACTAACCTTACTGTTGAAGTAGCAAAGAATAGAATTGGTCCAACCCTTTCACAGCTGTCAAACTTCATTTGCTTTCACTTGCGTCAGTGTTAATTATGAGAAAGTTGAACAGCTTGAAAAAAGAAATCAATATTGAGAAGTGAGCGGGCTGCTAGTTTTCCAATCATGTTTTTGATTTTCCACAGATACCAGTTAAACAAACTGCCACTCTTATACCAGTGCGCAGAAAGGTAAGCTCTTTAAAATGACACTGCTCTTAATTAATTGTCATGAGTGAGAGACAAGATTGCCAGTTTGGGACATGTTGATGTGCCGCTCAGGCCAATATGTGCAAGCTAGGTTCCCCATTTCATCACAACTTTTCTTTTAAGGGCCACCTATAGACCTTCAAAAGTAACAGCCTGTGATTTCATGACCTGTCCCTTGGAGTGTGCCAGGTACTACCATTTTATCTGTGGTAACAGAAGCCTGGTGAGAGATTTCACCCATGCCAAAGAAAAAAAAATATATTTACCATCAATTTACTCTTAACACCATAAAATCAGTATACATATTTCCCACACTGTTCTCTTAAGATTTCCTATGGTAATATAACAAGAATTTGTTTAACAATTAAGAGCTTCTTTAGTCAGTGATCCTTTACTTTATTCTCATGACCTAATATGTGATTCAGTGCTGGTGTGGCATGGAGAAATTAGATGTTAGTCACTTGTAGGGTTTCAAAGGGTTGAGGCTTTCTAAAACATTGACCAAAATATTTTTTAATTTGGTATACAAGATGTCTATTTGTCTGTGATTTGATCAGCTGTCCCCGATAGTTTCCTGAGAACAATAGCTTAGAGAGTTGTCCCATGCCAAAGAAAACAAGACTTAGTTATTCATCCTCAATCTACAGTTAAAATCGCAAGACCAAGATTTCTTTTGAAACCTAGTATGCAAAATTGTTGGAAAATGAACTAGGGTAAACCAAATTCAATTTTAGTCGGGTCAGTGCATGTGTGGTGACCTAGTATTTGTTTTTGGTTTCAACTATATATTCTTGTGTGTTTTACTCTTCTAGAGAAAGCCTGAGGGGGAGAGTAGTAGTTCTGTGGGGCAGGACACAGAGGTACCAGTGAAAAAAGCTCGGCAAGAAGAGGAGCAGCCAAAACCAGCTCCTGCTGTCACAGAAAATGGACACGATCCTAATGGAAACGGGAATGCCACTGAACAAAAGTGAAATGTAATTAATATATTTGTGTAAATAAAGAAACCAGTTTGTTTACTCTAATAAGATGAATAAACATTTTTGCACCACCTTATTATGTGACTACTTTTGTCACTACTGAGGCATGAAAGCAATTGCATTTCCTGGTTTGAAGTAATCAAGACTCTTTTACAAGAGTAAGGGCAGTGATTTCATTCAGTCTGGTAGGGTTTCCATCTTTATATCAAGAGAAAACCAAGAAGGAAAGGACACATATTAGAGGAAAGTTGCATTTTTCAATGCATTAAATAGGGTTTGCATTTCACTGGTTACATTTCGATCCACGACTGCAAAAAATTCTCCCGTTGGGGTTGTTACCTGAAGCTCTCCAGATTCTGACTTGACTACTGACCAAAACATTCCTTTCCTCCCTGTTTTCATACCTTGCATCTTAAAATTTACTAACATTTCTAGACCTGTCATAGTGAAGAAATGGTGACCAAAGCCTAAAACATTACCTTGCACGACATTAATCTGCATTTGAAAAAGAAAAAGGAACCAATTTCTAGTTTCTCTGAACAGTAATGCTATTGTATCATTTATGCACAGCTGAAAATGGTAAACTGGTATCTGTGCAACAGATTAATATTAGAGTTTCATTAAGATCTTGAGAATAAAGGAAATGATCACCTACATAAGGTTTGATTGATAATAAATTCTCCTTGTCAGTACCAAAGGAAATAGAAAAGAGTATGGAGAATATAACGCTGTCACTTGGATGTAGAGGGTAAAAAAGTTTTGATCCAAATAGTTCAAAGACTTACATGTGATAGAACTCGCCACTCTAAATTTCAACCACATCATTAATGTCAACCTACAAACTGATGAACTTACTCTCTTTATGCTGATGGTGTACAGAACTAAAAAAAAAAGGTCGGATAAAGGGGGAGAGAGGTGCAGTGAGGGAATAAAAATAACACCAGGACAAAGTACTACCTAACATATGCATGCTACTCGCAAAAAACCAATTAGACCAGTGTGACCAGTTTACTCAATAGAGATCTTGGTATGGTGGGTTTGAATGCACAAACTAATTTTTTCTATGAAACTACTCCTTAAGGCTTACTTGTAAAGTAAATAATGCCCAAGGGGAGGAAACTGATTTAATCTTCCAAGAACTTTCCAAAAATAAACAATAAATGAAACAAAACTAAAGCAAATTAACTGGCTCCAATTCCATTTTACTCTTTAAATTTTATTGCCCTGGGTTAATTCTAGATTATAAATAAACTTACAAGGCATGGGTAACCTTCTAGAATATGTATATTTTTTCAAACTTTAAGAAACAACCAAGGGGCATTTAAAACATGTAGTGACTAATGAACCCAGAGTCTGAACATTGGTTGCTTTGCGATGGAAATCATTTTGGAAGACACAACTAAATTGCAATGATATTTTTTTGCTGAGAATGTCTCACAAATAAATAAATTTATCCTTTTCTAGAATTGGGAACACTTGTGTGATCCAAAACTAATCAAGATTTCTAACTGTTCAAGAAAGCAATTATGCAGATGTTTACAATTTTGCAGGCATATAAATCTTTGTCTAAGATAAAAACATGAACACAGCGATGCAACTGTAATTGGATAAAAGAATGTACTCTCATGTCAAGAAATAAGAATTTTCAAATTAATGATTGTATAATTTACAAAAAAAAAAACATTTAACATGCCTGCCATTAAAAATTACTTCTGCAGAAATCTACTTTTAATCGAACTGTATTATATAAATAAAAAGGTTTTCTAAAGTAGATCTAGAACAATACAAGGAACAATAAGCAAAAAGACAACATGCAAAATGTTGTCTGTCTGTTGTGGGCCTGCCTGTTCCTCTCCCAAGACTGTTTGATATATTAAAGTCACTGTTCTGTACACTTTAGGATAACTTAAGTACATAATAGGCTTTTTAAGTCAGTGGATTACTCTTTAGAAATCAGCAAATTCTTTTGCACACTTCTCAGAGGTAGAAATGCGCAGCGGTTCCTCCTCATAATCGTCAAAGTTGCTTGGATCTCCTGGACCTTTGCATTTGGGAATAAAGGGGGCTTCAACCTACACCAAGACAACAAGAAAATTACTCAGCACATCAGGGTTGAAAGTAGAAGGTAATTAAGTTATTTTATGATATCTCTCAGAATGTGCGCTATGAAAAAAAGTTTGTTTAAACTGAAAACTCTCTCCTCTGTTTCATTGGAACCCAGAGATATAACGAACATCTTACTAACCTATTTTCTCATTCCCTACAGTAATTTACTGAACCTGGTTAATTCTGCTTGGATTTATGGCCATAGATCTGAGCACAAAAAACTTGGTTCCTCTCACTTACAGTACAGGCCTCCAGCTAGGTTGGTAAGATGTGTGTGGGAAGCCAAGTCATTGTGGATGTTATGTTGTTTTGTCAGATCATGAGTTAGAATGGGAACTACTTAATTAAAATGTCTGAAGCATTCACAAAATTTGCACAAACCTTCAAGCAAACTCTGTTACAGGTAAATCATACATTCAATTCCACTCAAAAATGAGAAATGGCTATTGTTTAATTTGACCATTGGTATTGCAGTGATTTTCTGTTTTTTTACAGCTTTTATGGAACAATGATGCAGAACATGCTAGTTAAAGATGACCAACTAGCTAAAAGTTTTTGGCCAGCCAACAGCTCTAGCTCACAGCTTTAGCAAAAGTGCTTTTCACTATGTCATTAAAAATATTCCAAAAACAGGATTTGTGTGACTATTCAGGAGCTCACAAAAAGATTCAATTTTTTCTTTGAAGTTAGCAAAGATCTGTCTGATTAGATCCCTTGAATACTTGTTTTCTTCCACCACAATTTTCTGGTGAGGTATCAAATTTGACAGAGATATTAAGAGCAGAATTACAGAAGTGAAAGGAACAAAACAATGGCAGTATTTCTTACTTTTCGTTGATAGATAGCTATCCAGTCTGTGGAACTAAACCACTTGTGACCTCGGATGTCTCCCACGCCATTCTTTAGATTTCCATATCTTTTTGTCAGATCAACTTGTAATAGATTTCGAAGCAAGTCTTTCAGATCAGCTGTAAAATGTGATGGGAATCGTACCTGGATACAACAAAAGATTGTAATTACTATTAACAGTACTATCGCCTCTGTAGCTGACAAAAATCTGGGTCTTCCTTACACACTACATACATGTACCTATCCAAAGATTTCAATTATTAAATCCCAATTACCTTGCCAGAGACAATCTTTTCATAAATCTGAATTGGCTGATCGGCAAAGAAAGGAGGGTAACCAGCTGCCATTTCATAGATAAGAACACCTAAAGCCCACCAATCCACAGCTTTGTTATAACCCTGAAGAGAGAAAAAAAAAAATTCTTGAACCTTCATACCCCAACATCAGTATGTAATTCTCAATAATGTTATCTACACATTTCCTAAGGTGCTGACAAGGAGAATTTGTTGAACAATCAAGAGCTTCTTTAGTTGGTGATCATTTACTTTATTCTCTTGACCTTAATGTGTGATTCAAGGGTGGTATTGTAAGGAGAAATTACATGTTAGTCACTCTTAGGGGGTAGAAAGTTAACATCACAAAAAGAGCCACATATATCAATACTAATTAAAATTTCATTAGTTTTATTATGTCAATGGAACCTCTGATGAAAATATCAATGCTTTGGCAGCGATGAAATGAAGAAAGTAATGGACTACTAGGGAATGTCAATTAAGCACAGTAAAAGGTAAGCTTTGAAAAAATGTACAAAAGATACAGATCATTTTAAGGAGATGCCAGAAAGACAGCAGTAAATTTGTAGGAAATGAAGTTAAGAAAAGAGTAAACTAAGTAGGGATGAATTTAAATAGCTTTATTACAAAACTGTTTCCTTTTGAACATCAGGTGAGACTGACACTTTGTTGCAGATGAAAATAAAGAAAGTTGGGAACTACCAGCACCATTCCCTGGAGTTTTTTTTTTTTTTTTTTTTTTTTTAAGTACATGTAGTCAGACTAAAGTTAGTATGCATTTCAGATCAAGATAAGCATTAATGTTTTATCCCTTTGGTCAGTTAAAGAGACCAAAAATCCAGAACAGGGAAAAACACTGGGTGCTGGTCCCTCTGGAAAGCACAAGTACCAGGGAGAGTTAGCCATGCAATATCAAAAGGGAAGCTCTTGAAATCTTCAACAGATTCTGATAACAATGACAAATGAGAAAGACAGGGATTACTTTTGTGGGAAATGTTAGGTGTGTGGTAGCAAAGGTATTCTCCTTAATCAAATTTTCAAAAGATTCTGGGGATAATGAGAAATGACAAAGTCAGCCATAAATTTTGTAGGAAATGATGTTTAACAGAAAGGAAAACTGAACATGGATAAAATTCTTAATGTCTCATAACACTAAACACGAGACAACTCAGTAATGCTGGAGGCATTTACCTTGCTAAGAATGATCTCAGGTGCCAGGTATTCTGGTGTTCCACACAGAGTCCAAGTTCTCCCCTTCACTCTCTTTGCAAAACCAAAATCTGTTACCTGCAGAATAAGTAACTTATCTTATGAATCTCCATAGAATAGTTCTGCAGAGTAAAGAAAAAGCTGTCTTACAAATTCTCGGATTACACCAATAACTTAATGGCTACTGAATTAAATTACCTTTAAGTAACCTTTCTCGTCAATGAGAAGATTCTCTGGTTTTAGATCCCTGTGGGAAGACGAAACAAGTCACAAAACAACAGAAAAGGGAAAGAAATGGATGCCTAAAAAATAATTGTATAATTTTAATGTTAACAACTACATCTCAGAATTCGAAGGTCAAGCCCTCAACTCTCCGAGGCAATTCCGTTAATATTGAACACTTTTTGATAAATTTTTGCTTAATTTCCTTGCAAAGAGAATATAAAGGCTGTTTCAAACAGACGAAGCAAATATTCTTGAAATTGACGATAAAAGGATAAGAACTGATCAACAGCAGAATTGTGATCGTATCACACAGAGAGCATTTTAAAAGCAAGAGAGTTTAGCTATCAATTAAAAGAACATAATTTAGATATAAAATGCACAACAAAGAAATAATTATATCAAACACTATAAAAAACCACAAACATGTCCTTACAACTTTCCGCACAGGAACACAACAGGAAACGTATATTGCCACTTTAAAATATTGCCAGACAAAGGAAGACAGCTTCAAAAAAAATTCAGAATTAAAGTGGACCATCTGTTGTAGTATTACCTGTATATGAGGTCTAATGAGTGAAGGTACTCGAAAGCCAACACAATCTGCGAGGCATAAAACCTTGAGTGTGTTTCACTGCAACAGAAGAGAAGAGGAAAGTTAAATTGACAAAAAGACAGTTTAGGGCATTCCAAAGCTATCTGGACATTTGTGAGATATTTTAAGAAGTCTAAGATATTTAGAAAATCTAGAGATATTACAACTTCCCTTGGCTAACTGCATGCCGTTTTTCCTGTTTTCCAAAGTTCTGTAATATTTACCGCATAAGCAACCTTTTCTGCCATGAATATATCAAACCTTGCATCTAAGTATGTAGTTTCTAAGGTTGCTTTTGCTTTCTTTATAAACACAGTACCAAAAGAAACAATCCACTGCAAACTTTTTCAATTCCCACAAACAAAATTTCAGAACAGGTGAATCAAATCAATTAATTTTTTAAATCCAAATGGGAGATATTGAAATGGGTTTTATTTTGAAGGTATTGGGGACAAAAATAGAATTTCTGTAAAGCTCTAGAATAAACAGTTAAGGTGCCCTTATAATTTCTCAAATAACAATTACTACATTAAAATTATCATGTGTTCACTAATATTTGAATGGTGCAACAGTTTAGAGCAAAACTTTGACCTGTACTCACTGCACATTTATACATAATGAATGAATTTGACCATCACAAAAATTAATAAATAAAAAAGAAAAGATAGATAATGTTCATTTCACAACTGCCCTTCAGAAAATTTAAAGTTTTTATGTGCTAACTCTTTGACCCTGAGAAAAGCACAGGCAAAGTAATTCTTATTCTATAAGTAAGTAAGTAAGTAAGTAAGAACTTTGATTAAGTGTCAATAACTCTGGCGTAAGAAATACACTAATGGGGGAAACCTAACTACAACTACCTAACTAGTTGTAAATATTATGTTAAAAAGAAGAAAATCTTAATAATTCCCCACTCCAGAAACTATGAGGAATCTGGGCACGAACTTGACTCGTAGGGTATTTGTAGGGTCGTTTGGGTGGACGCGCGAAACTTCAAAATGGCGGCAGAGAAAGCCAGTTTTTTTAAAAAAGTTGTTATTATCGAAGAAGACATTTCCCGAGCGAAGCTTCCTCGAGAAAACGTTGAAGAGGTACTGTACCACAGCTTAGACGATGGCTGTTGTGTAGAGGTGCGAAAACAAGCGGCAAGAAAGCCGATCTTGTCAAGAGGTTTGCTCAGACGATGTTTTTGTTATTGATCATTTGTCAGGGTTTATTTTTAACTGTCCAGCTTAAATTTATAGTAAGACATCGTTTGCTTTACAGTTTATTTAAGATTGGTTGCAAAACTGGGGGGCAATCAAACATTTTCGATAATAATTTCCATAGCTCGTGTTTTTCGCTGCATCTTTCACCATACCAAAGCAAAGCATTAGTGTTTTATGATTGGGAAATCCAGTGTAAAAAGCAATGTCCGAGTCCTTATCTTTGAACTGATTAATGTCAAATCTAAGTAGTCCCGTTTGGGTGGAAAAATTTACTTTTACCTCTTCATAACATTCAGTTTGCAAAGATTCATCTTTGTTGCACACTTGTTCTGTTTGCATACCTTGCTCCCTTGTGACCAGCACATCCTCTGTCTGACAGAGATCACTTTCTGGCAAAGGGTCTTCGGAATGGACTTTCTTTACAATTTTTTCAGAAGAAACACGCTTTAAGATACGTCGAGTTTCCACATGCTTAGACCATGGAAAAATTGAAGGTAAATGAAGCCTGCTGCGCTTATGTCCACCCTCAAAGTGATCTCCACAAATACATGTATTATCGGCGTCGATTTTTAATGTTGCATTACGAATTAGAATTTTGTACTGTCTTCGTAATTTTTTGTCCTTTGGAATTCGGTAATACGAAAGCCCATCCTTGGTTCTGTAATTATTTGTACATCCAGGAACACAACAATTAGCATGCTTTACCATTTTTTTCTTTAGTGTTTTGTGAAAACTTTCCTTGCTACTGCCATTTTGAAGTTTCGCATGTCCACCCAAACGATCCCAGACGACCCTATGAGTCAAGTTCGTGCCCAGATTCCCAATAGTTTCTGGAGTGGGGAATTGAGTCATAAGTTGTCAATTATTGCATAAAAAACAGTCTCTACAGGTTCTGACAGGCAGACTTGTGGATTTGAACAGTTTGATACACTTTTTGAAGGTGCCCAAAGATTCAGAAAATCAAATGTATGCATCTAATCTGGACCAAATAACAGGGCCTAAGTAGGTAAGGCTGTGTTTTCCATAAGCAACAGTCTGAAATCTAGGAATGACGAAGTCATTATTTCTAAGAAAATAATGAGAGTTGGCAACGACGAATAAGTCTGCAATATAGGGAGGCGCCAGGCTGTTTTTTACTTTGTACAATAAAATTGCAATGGCCTGTAGCCACCACGTGTAGAGTGTTGGTAATTTTACTCTTTCTAAGAGTTCCTTGTAAGTCGATCTTGTGTCAAAATTCATGGCACGTAGTGCTCGTTCTTGTTTTTGTTCTAATTTCCTGGCATCAGAAGAACAGCAAAAATGCCAGACAGTTTGACAATAGGAAAGATGGGGTATCACAGCAAATTTAACAATGTGCAATTTAGCAGATGTAGGAATGAGGTTGCATACTAGGATATTACCTGAATCTTCCAATACGTCGTAGATGAGAAAACATCTCACCTCCAAGTACAAATTCTAATACCATGTACAAGTTGGAATTATCCTAAAACAATCACAAAGTTGGTGTAAGAGTTTCTGTCACTTCCCTCAATGCCACTAAAATGTTGCATGAAAGGGTTACTTGTTAACAATCCTAGTATAAAACAAGTTAAGTTGGCCCTTCACCATAAACACATTGAAAAGAGCAATCGCTTAGGTAAACTTATAAGTTTTACCTAACACACTGCCCTTTGAGAAGGTTACATGTAAATGCTGATTTCCCAGTTAGCTTGCATGATGCCACTCATGTAAAGGTAAAAAAGCCTTTTTTACTGATTATTGTGTTTGCATCTATAGTTAGATTGAATGTGTAAGCTTCAATATTTATTCTCACATCATCCTATGATGTGAGGAATGTTATCAGGTCTGTCACAAAGTACTAAACATAAGCACAAGAACAAAGTACTGAAAGTACTGAAAGTACTAAAGTAAAAAAAAAAAAGAGAGAGAGAAAAAATTCAGGGTAACAAACAATGAGCCTTCAAGGGAAAACAGGAGTAATTCTGGAACTAAATAAATTAATACCCATGGAGATATTTAACCAATGCCATACTTTACTGAATAACGAACAAGACCTTCAAGTTCAAAGCTAAATAATAATTGTCAAGAGTGGATTCAACAGCAAATGGTAAACCTAAGTCTTCCAGGTTGACACATACAGTGAGTCTTATATACAACATTCTCTGATATTTTCAACAGGACTTTGTTTCATCCTGCCAACATACTTATCACAATGGTGTTAATTATTATCATCAATCATCATCATAAACATAGTTGAAGAGATGAGGAATGCATCTGTCTCGAGTCAAATATATCTAACATTGAAAATAAGCACCATTACCTATTTTAAAATTTAATTCAATGATGGGATAAATACTCATCTTTTGAAATCAATCAAGTATACCCCATTGCAGATAATTGATCGTCAAGAGAAATTTACTTAAGCAAGAAAGCAACAAACCTTAAAATGCCATTCCAGGTTCACCAGGAATGGAAAAGTTATTGCCTGCAGGATCCTTTTTTCATTTAAAGTGTGTTCCACTTGCTTCAGCTTCACCACCTACAAGTTTAAGGCAAGTCATCAAAGTTATAGGTAGTCCAAATCAAGATTATTAATTTATCATAACACCTGTTACATTACGAGATTGGTCCCCGAGCCTAATAAAATGCAATCATTCACGCCGAAGTTGATCAACTACTGCAAACATAGCGCAAAAAGAATGCGGTAATTCGATGTCTGGAGAAATACTTGTTAAAAACCTTGGTTCGATACATTTTTTTCTTTCGTTGTCTTAAAAAGGGGGCAGACGTATGTCAAATTAACTTTTGAGAATCTGTTCGGTAGGTTGTTATTTACAACTTACACTGTACATTTCATGTGAAGGACTGAAATAGGCATGCATCATAGACACATTTGACTGATAAACCAGAACGAATTAAAGGCCGGTTGAAAGAATAAATGGCAATAACAAAAGTACAAAATGAGAAGTGACGATTAGTAACGCTAAATTTTCGCGCAAGTTAACATAAACGACTGTCAATCAGTCTCTCGAAAACTAATCCTAAAACAGCTCCCTTCCAAAATAAGCTTACATGTAACCGAATAAATCTAAAATTACCTTCTGTTTATCTAGAATTTTCATGGCATAAAATTTGTGGCTGCTCTTATGTTGAACGAGCATAACCCGACCAAATGATCCGGTACCCAAGGTCTTCACTCGCTCGAAGTCCTCCAAACTCGCCGTATTCTGTATGCATCAAACAGAAATGACATGAGCGACATAGCAAAATCAACAAAGAAAATATACTCTTGAGAGAAAACCACGCTTAGGTCTACAAAATACAAAAATCTTAAAATAATAAAGTTCTGCTTTGGGCACGCCAAGAAATCAAGCACAATGGTTCGTAACACGATCTCTCAAGAACAGAACACCGTTTAAAATAATTTACAAGTCTCACCCAACAAAAGCGTACACGAAAAAGGTGAATATATTTTAGTTGAAACCGAAGGAAGATGTGACTTTATATTTAAATGAATAAAAAAGAAATTGCTCACCTGAGAGGGGTGCTCCCATTTTGAATTGAACTCCTCTTTAGCCTCGGTCAGGAAAGCTTTGACTTACGGAAAAGAGACGAAAACAAAACATTAAGGTTTTTTCGCTTGGTTGAGTATAACAACAGATGCCCCCGCTAAATTTATTATACCGTTTTCTGGGTCTCCTTTCTTCGTTGGAGCGTTGCCCATGTCTTAAAGGGCGACCTCTTATGAAAGCTTCTTTAAAGCTCTCGTCACGCTGAAAAATATTGATACCCAACACACAAATCTGCCTAAAATGACTTGCGATCTTGCTCGATATTCCGCTGTAGCTGGTATCAAAGAAACAGACAACCTCCTGGCGAAAGATAGACCCAGTGACGTTTTCCGTTTTCACAACGACGCGTTTTCATTGGTCGGCTGTAAACGAAACAATCGGAAACATCTAAATATGGAGATTTTCGGCAATCTCCAGCTGAACGAAACAGAAGCGGAGGAGAATTGCCAGATAAATTCTAGGGAGGTTTGGTTTCAATGTGTCCAAAGATTGACGCTGAATGATGAAAATGCATCATTGATTCTTTAGTTTTACCAGTTTTGGCGAATCATTATGTTAAGATAATGGTTTATTTATGGGGAAAACTTATTTTATTGACTAAAAACTAGATTTCTGCATCTATCATGTACCCAAATAATTACGATTAACCAACGACTTAAAGGCAAATATCATCCGATTTTTATATGAATGAAACGACAACAACTGATGTACTTTTTTTTTTCGAAGATAGTTTTAAAAACACATTGAAAAAAAACAAACAGAATCTTGAATAAGCCAAGCTAGTTTTGGCTAAATGTCTAATAAATGATTTTTCTGTAAAATGGATTTTCTAATCCAAAAATGAACACAAATTATGATCAAAGGTATATTTTCATCCTTCTAAGATAAGATGACAATCATTTTTAAGATTGTTCTTTTCAGAGAGTTGTACATTCTTTTACTTATTATTCATGAGCACTTATAAAAACAAAATAGAAAAAAACTATTCTCTCCTTACTTGTCAAATTGTTTCATATGATTATGCCATACATCAAAGGATGGGTAATGGGAAAAGTGCAAATCCTCTGTTTTGCTTGATTTTTTTTTAAGTTCTTGGAAATCTTTTCATCTCCATAGCTTGTCTTGAGGAAATGATATCACTCATTAACATGATAATGATGGTCAAAAAAAATGTTCAACTGCTTGAGTCTAGCTTTCTTTGAAGCATTTAAAAAGCTTTTTTAGCTACCAAAGTAACAGTGAAAAAAGTCTACTTTTCTTTATCAACCAGCCATGTTTTCTAGAAGAAACTCAGCATTATAAATTGTTGAAATTTTCTGTTTGTTCTTGTGACAAGTGAATAACTTCTCCAGCTATACTTAACCCTTTCACTCAGCAGATCTCATCAGTGATTCTCCTTTTTATCTGCCATACAATTCTTATGATTTTGGTTTGGAGAATTTTGCATTGGATCAACCTTAAATCCCCTAATTGATATTTTTCTTTATTCTCATCACTTGTCAGCTTGATATTGTATTTATATTGTAAGGAGAAATTCTGTCTTGGTCACTCATGGGTCTGGAGTTAAAAGGTTACTGTACAGGTCTAAATCACCAAAGTGATAAAGCTTCTTTAAAGCTCTCATTGCAATGAAAAATATTGATACCCAATTCCTGTGTATTTCCTAACAATTTTGAAATACCACAGTGATAACAAAACAAAAGATTGATGTAAACTTCAAAGTTTTCAACTCCCAAGATCTGATTGTTAATTCTTTCTTCTGGCACCTTTGCCTTTCCTTGTAAATAAGTTATGAGAATTTTGGTGTTAGATCAAGATACATGTAACAACTCCTAACTGATAGGTTTGAGTATTCTCATTACCTGTTTACTGGAAATGTATGGACATTATAGGGAGAAGTTACATGTCAATCGCCTCTAGGAATTAAAGTGTTAACTGAGGGACTGCCACTGGTGTAACATACATGGGGGAATTGGGATATGTTTTCCCAGAAAAATTTTCCAGTTTGGCATTGAAGACAGGGGAACCACATTTCCCTGACTTAACCTCTTTATCCTGCTATATTACTCAGCCATTATTTCATGTTTTTGTTGGGAAATCATTTTGTATCTCAGAAAATGGAAATCAAATATCCTTTTCACTCCCAGCAACATTCCAAATTCCAATTTGATCTGGAAACAGTGGACAAGACGGGCCACCTGGAGGATCCTTACTGTCTGCCATGCAATTCTTTTGAAGCCAAAAACTAGTTTTTCCTGGAAAACTAATCTTGTATTTCTTAGAATTTTTTCAGCTACTATGGATATGTGAAAATACTTAGAGATATGATGCATCTTTACAAAATTTATGGCAATAACTCCCTGGATCTGATTGTTAATGTTCCCCTCTAGCTGCTACACATTTCCTTAAAGAATTGTTGCAGGAATTTAGTCTTAGATTAAATAATCTCAAGACAAAGTCTAGAGGATTATTCAGAAATCTTTACTAAGCCTGAGGTGAACAATTGTTTAGTATCATCACTAAAGTGCCACTGAATTCTGTTATAAATTCGTTTTATTGTTGAAACAATACTGCTAAAACTGTTTTGATAACTCTCGTCAAGATACGCAGCCAGCTAGTTTCCACAAGAATTTAACGGGTTTAGTATTCGATAAGCAAAAACTTTGTATCTTTCTTTTGAAAAAATATTCCACCAAACGTAGAAGCATCTTTTGTGCTCTTTAGAATGAATTTTCCTCTATTGTATTTAACACTTCCTTTCTGACATAAATTTGACAAAATGCAAGGCAGTCATTTTCAAATTTAGTGTGACTGCTATAATCACCTAGCATGAGGTGATCATAGTGAGATATGATGCAATCCTCCACCAGTCACAATGCATGTATCTCTATAACCACTGCAACAATTATACTAACTAGTATTATTAGTTGGTAAGGGAAAGAGGAGTTATAGGGTGAAAAAACTGTTAATACTCTTTTGGTGTGTAACATTGAAATCACTAGGAAATTTTAGGAGCACTCACATTTGAGAAAACTCGTTATGGATAGTGTAGCTGATAAAACATGATTTGGACCATATCCTATAATTCACCCCCGCTCCCTAACCAAAGAGGCAAAGAGCATCTACTGCTCTCAAAATTAATGTCAGAACTATTATGAAAAAGACCTTGCAGGGAGAAATGTCAAAAACTGTCTGGTGTCACTTTTGAAAACTTAACTTAAGTCGCAGGTTAATACTTGTAAGGGTATCAACTTAAGATAGGAATAAATCCTATCCAAAATCCTCTTATAAGTCTTCTCAAAATCAATCAACAACGAAATCTCTCTGAGTCAAAGCAGACCTTGACAAGGGCAATATGAAACCAGTAACTGAAATATAATTCAAGTACCTTTAAGTTAGCTTTTTAACCCGATTAAAATCGCTTTCTGGTTGTAACATGTTACTTATTACTGTCTACCACGAAATGACCTTTTTAAAACCTTGAACATAAATAGGCCATTTAGGAATTCCGGCGGCAAATAGCTCACAAATACGTACAATGAACTATAAGTATATTAATTGTGTGAATAAAGAATGCAGAAACAGTACGGTGAAGTGGAAAAAGAATCTTTTACGCATTAAAGTTATCAATTATCTCGAATGATAAACAGGAAACTCCATTACGCACATAAAAATGTTTTATAGAAAAGCACTAATGTCAGTATTCTCAAAATGCGCTATTGCACTTATCGAACTGACGTCAAAAACACTTGCGTTCACTTCTGGAATGCACTTTATGTTTACTGCGCTTGGTTTTAAATCGAATTCCATCGAACAACCGCTTGTTACATCATATTCTCTTACGTTACAAATTGACATTTCCTTCTATCGTTTAAGGACAACAGTAACGACATGGAAGACAGAAAATGCTACCAAATACTTCCACTTACTAACGTCATTCTTGGCTGCTTTCTTTGCTAACGGCATGGTACTCCGAAATCAGGTATTAGCACTGCAGGAACCGTGAACAGCTTTTTTTCGTCAGTGCTGGCTGTGGGTAGAATTTGACAGAATTATCAGGAAGCGGCTTTTGATGAAGTAAACATCCTAAAGGTAGGTATTGTCAACGAAACTTTTGCCTTCTTGGCCTGGGGGCTTTTTGTTTTGTCAACTAACACAGCACGCTCTTTATAAATATTCGCTCGTTTGGTTTTGATTTCTTTTTTTTACCTGTTTCCGCTGTTATCAGCCGAACTACCCGTGATATTTTGTTTCCTTTCAAGTACCTGTTGTCTTCAAAATTAGCACGGCTCTTTGAGAGGTCTTTTTTGCTCAAATGAACCGTTCGCGATAGCGATCAAGCCGATGAGATGTCGAACGTTGAGTACTCCCTTGAGGCCTCAATTTCGTTTTGCAATAAACAGAATTAGGGGAGGAGCTTTCTTCGACATCGTTAATTTATGTACCACTCTGTTTATCTTTTACAAATCTGCATAGTTACTCCTCCATGCAATTATTTTCTCGCGTGTTTCGAAGTAATTTTTAACAAGCGTGTAAAATTATTTCCCAAGTACCAGGACTAAACAGAAACTGACAAGATAAATTTCACGCTCATTTGCAATCTTTTATTTTGACTTCTGCAATATCAAGGTCGTTTAGAACCAAAACAAGCTTTTATTTTTAAATACATTCAAATGTTTAAAGTTTAATCTTTTGTCGCTCTGGCAATTACAACAAAATCATGGCAATTAGGACAACATGGTAAGCCTATTAATTATTTTTCAAGCCTGGATTGTTCAGTTTTCTGTTCTTCGTTGCAAAATCGCAAATTACAAAGATTTATTCACAAAAATACTGCATATTAAGGAAACAAACTAATGTACCCCAATCAGATAAATTTGATTACAGTGGCTTCTCCTTGCAAAAAAAAAAAAAACTTGGTGGTTTTTACCAGTTTGAAAACTACTGAAATCTTTGCAGACTACTGTTTTTTCAAAACCATGTCTACCAAAACCTATCCCCAAAACATTGTAAATCATAGACAAGAATTTTGTTTTGATCTTTTGTTTTTCAACTTGATTTGGGATGATAAACTTTTGCCCTATGAGAAAGGTTTAGAAACCTCACTCAGCAAAACAAACATTTACTAGATGTTTCTAAAAAAAGAAACAAATGTGTGAAGAAGTCAGAATGTCAAGCGCATTTTAACTCTTTAAACCTCTGAGAGTGATAAATATCTAATATCTCGTTACTCACTCCCTGAATCACACAATCAGGTCACAAAATTAGGGGAAATGATCACCAACTACAGAAGCTCTTGATTGTTAAACAAATTCTCCTTGTCAGCATTTAAGGATATATGTGGGGACCAGCATGGAGAATATGCATACTGATGTTAGGGTGTAAAGGGTTAACAGCGAGGGGATAAGTTTTACCTCTGGCAGGGTAAGAGTAAAACTGATAATGACAAGTTCATACTGCTTAATAGTCACTTTGAGAAGGGTGAATGTTTAGCTTTAGAGACACTTCACCCTGAGCGATTGCATTACCAACTCAATCAATAAATATTTTTTAATTAGAAGGTTTTTGTATAGGTAATCGCATGGGGCTGAGTAAAATTAAGGATTAATATCACGTGTGTTTTTGGAAGTTGCTGAAATTGCCTGAGTCACGCAGAGACGAGGGCAATTTCTGCAACTTCCAAAAACACACGTGATATTAATCCTTAATTTTACTCGGCCCCATGCAATTACCTATACTAATTCTCATCACTCATAAACTTACTGGGACAAATTATTGACCCACGCAAGGATTACTGGCAACTATAAAAATGAGGTAGAGGAGACTTGAAGGTTAAATATGGTCTTAGAGAAGGTGAGACCAACGTAAATATGAAGGATTTCCACAAAAAGAAAAACAGATTTTCCAGCCTTGATTTCATTAAATTATTATTGTAAATTGATATTTGGAATCAATGCAATAATGGTAAGGATACAATAGCTTGTCTGCCTTGAAAAATAATAAGATTCTTTTTCTGGGTCCATGGAACTGTTGGTATACTGATATGTACAAAAGCGTGGTGGATTAACCTCACCACCTTTTTCCCGAAACCCGAAGGTCCCGACAGCAATGTCTTGGATTTGATAATACTGAAAAGAAAAAATCTAAGTGTTAGACAAACCCTGATAACAACAGTTTATCTCCCATGATATGATTATTAATTCTCCCCTCTGGCTGCTACACATTTCCTAATGAATTCTAAAGTTACAACAATTCAGTGTGAAATCACAATAAAAACTTCTGCTTTCAAGATAAGTTTGAGTATTCTTAGTAGAACACCAAGTGAAACCTAGCTGACCACTTTAAAATTAAGACCACAGTATAATGAATCATAAATTAAAAAAAAAAATTGTGCCCATTATTGTTTTTTTATAGTTTTTTATAAAATAGCTAAGATACTATGTACACCATAAAAGTATCATTTATTGCACTAGTAAACCCATAATGCATTGAAACATACTGTTAGTGCTATGTTGTTTAAATTTCTTTCATAAAAGCAACACACCAAACGTTCTACCTGAAAAGTTTGTTTTTGAAAAGTTTGTAATTCACTTGCATCCCCGTAACATCCCATGTACGTTATTATGCCAGTAAACCAATAAAAAGTGTGGTCTATTGCTTAAAATTTTGTTAACGAGACTGCCATTATACATTAATTACCTCCCCAGTGTTTTGTCCAGTTTTGATGACCTACTGCAAGTACCCATTTACACTCCTCAACAGAGAGCATGTCTGTATGCAGTATCATGCCAAAGTATACAACACAGTGAAAAGAATATGGAGATTAATTGGCCCNACAAATTAAGTTGGCAGATTCAAATGTCCCCTACGGGCTCGTCAAAATACGGCACAACTCGTAAAAATACACAGCAATTCTACACAACAAAACGTCTAATAAGATATATATATCTATATTCTATGCTCATGTTATTTATACTCTTACTTTGAACAGTTGGGTAATAAAACCAAATTAACTTGTAATGCCCTCACTATTGCAGCACCACAGGTTCTTCCCCCTCCACCCACCATTGTGTTCACTACCACAAAATCTGAGGAACTACAACACTTTTCTACGGCATCTGTGACACTGTCCATTTTTTTCAAATTCTTATTACAGAATTACATGTTCAGCATTCAACCTTCACTTAAGTTGAACCAGATGGAAGTGTATGTAGCTCGAACCAGGGGTTTTAACGATAGCCTGTTACCTGTGCAGTCCACAGCCACCCACAACACCTCTTACCACCATCTTTTTACCGGTAGTCACAAGCTGGTTCTCATGTTTGGGCTTTGCTCCAAATCCCTTTTTCCGGCACAGCGACCTTCGGTAAAGTTTTTGACACCTCTCCTTGAGCAGAAGGGGTAATTCAATTACCGCGCTAAAAAATTGAATTTGGAACATATAGTGAAATGCTATTTTTTTCAGCTTTCACTAAGCTGAAGACTATCGCTTGTTTTCACGAAAAGTCATAGTCGTCCCTAAGATCATTGTATTCCATAATGTGTTTCCTTATCTTCGACGTGTCTGTCCACGTCACAAAATCCTCCATGTTCCTTGTCACAAGAAAAGCAGGATCTGTAATAACTTCTGGTCCAACTCGAACATGCCCTTGTTCGATATATTTCACAGCATCCTTTACGGCCTGAGCCATACGTAGTCGCACCATTACAACTGGAAGCCTTCGACGACAGAAAGCCGATGAACTCAGCTTTTCACACAGAGATAAGTTCTTTTTCGCCGTGATCAACCCAAGTGAGTAAAGTTTCTCCAATAACTGCTCCGTGGCTTCAGCTCGGAAAGGATCTTTCGCATCTAAGCCCTTGATTTTGTTGGCTAGAGATCTCACCATTCCGCAAACTTTGTTATATTTAGTGTAGTCCTCCCTCTTCTGGATATGATATTTTCGTAATATCTTCACCTCACGGATGTTATTATCGCTTTTCCAAGAAATAAAGTCTACTTTTTTCAAGAGCTTCTTCTCGTGAAATTTTAGTTTCCTCACCATTTTGGGAATCAACACGAGGTGAATGGCCGTGAGAGGGCTAAACCTAGGCAGTGGTTGAAGCCGCTGACTCTACCCAGGTTGCTCTCGTTTTAAAATTCCAACATGGCGGCGATGGCGGCTATATGCTGAGCAAGAGCAAGACAGTCTGCGAAAAATGCTGTACCTTGTGGGTCTTGGATTAGGAGATGCTAAGGATATCACCGTAAAAGGACTTGAAGTCGTCAAAAAGGCAGACTATGTATTTCTGGAGGCATATACATCAATTCTTTGTGTAGGAAAGGACGTATTGGTAAGTACACGTGCTTTACTAAAGTTACAACAATCAAAGATGTCATTTGCTCCGGTTAAACTTCAGTCCAGGACAAAATTATAAGGAAGAAATTATCCTTAAATAAAGGATTTCTTTCCATGAAGGAATCAGGCACTATGGTTTTTTTTTGAGATGAATCATGACCAAAGTTAGAGGTGATTAACATGAAACTTCTCCCTACAATATCCATGCATTATTCAGCAAACAGGCGATGAGAATACTAAAACTTATCAGGAAGAAGTTCTCACCTTGATTTAACACCAAATTCTTTTAACTAATTTAGAGGAAATGTGTAGCAGCGAGAGCAGAGAATTGACAATCAGATCTTAGAAGTTTAAAGGGTTTATTAATGGGGTTCTCAATAGAATTTTGTACATTCGTTGACATTTCTTAAGCTCTCTTAATCTTTATTCACCTACTGGGGTGGAATGATGGGAAGAATCTGGGGCAAGAGTACCATATAACCCCATACATTAATTATGCATACAGTCTTTGTTCAATTAAAACAATAGCGATAACAATAGAACTCCGCAGAGACTAGTAGTCTTTGTTTTCAAAATTTGGATTTTTTTTCTAAGTCTTTTTTGAAACAGGGTAAATTTGGCGCGTTTTGGCTTTGCAAAACGGAAAACTCAAGTAATTTTCCAGAGGTTTTTAATTTTGAAATATAACTGAATGTTCAGTTTCGCTTTGAAAGCGTAAAATTGGCCGGAAAATAACGTTAAGTCTACGGTCAGGCTTTGAAGTTTGTCAATGCAAAGTTTAAATAAATGTTGTGTCTTACCTGTTCTTGTGGTTTTGGTTGATTCTTTCATTATCCTTTCGTGTCCTAGTGATGAAAATTGTTCGTGAAGGCCGGTGCATACAGCGATGCAAAGAAACCTTTGTATCTAGTCTTTCTGGACTTCA